TACTACAGTGTACCTTGGCTCATCATGGTAGATGAGAGGTGGCTAGTCATCACTAGGTTTGACAGGCACACGAGGCTAGCGGGAATTTCTCCGTTAGATGTACATATAAGTCCAATGTTCCCCTAGTTGTAAAAGATCAAGTCTTCTTTACTTCATCATATTTATCCATATAATATCATACAGAGTATATTTTCCAACAGAAATCATCATGCTTCCAAAACCAGGACGGGACCTAGCAATAGCTAAAGGATGGCGACCGATCTCTCTTCTCTTTTGCTTGGGCAAAGGGCTAAAACGAACATTAGCCAGAAGAATGGCGTGGCTAGCAATCGAACATCGTGTTTTCCCTCAACAGATTTTCGGCCCACTCCCAGGACGCTCAGTGGTCGACCTTGTTTCATGTGTCATACATGATGCAAAGGCGGCAATGCGGAACGACAAGGTAACAGCAATGATTACCCTAGACGTACAGGGCGCATTTGATGCAGTTCTCCACAAACTGCTATTACATCGGATGAGAAACCAAGGGTGGCCCAAGCTATTATGCCGATGGGTCGAGTCATTTTTGACCCGACAACAGATACAAGTTCGACACCAGGATGGAATAACCCGAGACAAAGTCGTGGAGTGTAGGGGCCCGCACGGCTCGCCACTACTATTTCTCCTGTAAATTTCCATTCTATTCAAAAATGGGAGCGAGCTCAACAAGTTTGGGTACGCAGACGACATCGCCATTCTCACCACTGGAAGCACAGCAGCTGAAGCGGTGGAAAATAGTCAAGCAGAATTGGAGAAGATTTTGCGGGTTGCAAGCAAGCATAAAATACGTTTTGACCTGTCGAAGTCTGACCTAGTGATAATTGGAGGGGGTCCTAAGAAAAAGCTGGACACGACAGGTTTAGCTATCCAGATCCAAGATAATAAGATAATACCTTCCCCGTATATCAAATGGTTTGGGGTATGGATGGACTCCCAACTCAACTTCAAGCAGCATGTGCAATAGTGTTGTGGGAAATTTCAAAGGCTAACGCAGTTTATACGGCGAATCAACAGCGTTAAACGGGGCGCAGGCCCGCAACCAATGATCAAGGCGGTACAGACATGTATCATAAATACAGCGATGTATGGAGCCGAAGCATAGAAGCCGGGCTTGACCCGGGTCACTGTTGAGCGGATGGGTTTGCAAAAGCTTGTGGCTGTTAGGCACAGATTATATCACTTGGTGAAGCGAGGGGGAAAGTAAAGGAGTCTGTAAATCTGTTGTGGAGAGTTGTTAATTACTCCCACTAGGACACAGAGTGCTACATAAACTATATTTTGTAATAATAAAATCTAGTGGTTGGTATTTACCTCAAAGCGCATTAATACTAACCTCACAATTAATGGTAGATTAGTGACGTGTCTTCTACACATCCCTGTCTTTACAGTAATTGGAAGCACCAATTTCAACAGTCACCACTGATCGGAGCAAGAAAGTGAGCACGAGAATTGGCTGGCATACTGATCTCTTGGACAGTACGATTATCAAGACAATCCGAGCAGCACCACCGGCATGGCGAACTACCCCGAACAAGGTTCTTCACAGAGAGTCTGGTATCCCCTCTGCAGCAATTATCCTTCAGCAAAGCCAATTGAGAGCTGCGGCGCGAATTCAACGAATGGACTTGTGGCATCCTCTGGTAGCCAGATCCCAAGAATGTCCAAAGGAAACCATAAACCACCTAGGACTCTGTGCAGGACAGAAGAACCCATCGTTCAAAAATCCAGAGCGCTACCTGACACGTTTGCAGACCGGCATTCAGAACGTACTGCTCGGTGTGGAGTCCGGAAGACTTTTCTACCTAGCATGGTATCGCAGCTACCAACCAGCGACACTAGACAGGGAGTCTGAAGCCACTCTAGTCAAAAAATGGATAGAGCACTTGACAGCCGACATAATATGTGCATACCTAGATGGCTCATCCTGCGGGCTGGCAAAATCTGTATGGGGCTATACTCTATTCAGAGGACGAAAAATGATTTGGAGCGGCGCAGGTCCTTTGCTTGGTGCAGAGATTTATGACGCGGAACTCTTGGGAACCCAGAAAACCCTCGAAGCAGCTCTACTGGTGGCTGGCAGCAACTCAATCAAGTTACTCTTAGATAGTTTACAAGCTGTCCAGGCATTACGTAGTGGTAGGTCTAGATATTTCCAGGGAATAGTCGAAAAATTTGTCAAGGACTGTCAGCAATATCAGTCAGTGGAAATTCGGTGGATACCAGGCCAATCAGGGATCGAGGGAAATGAGATGGCAGACAAGCTTGCCAAAGCCGCCCTAATTAAAGTCCCAAATGAGGTGACCAACGAGGCACTCCCAATGGAGGTGCCCCGCAGAATAAAATTTACGTTTGCATCACTCAACAGATTTGTCAGAGAGCGCACGGAGGGACTAGTGGTAGCATGGTGGCGGAAAAATGCGCCAAAGTACTTTACGGACTTAGATCTTATGATGACTCGGAAGCGACCTCTAGAACTTGCTCTACCGAGATGGGCCTTGCACAGGCTGATTGCAGCTAGGACTGGGCACAGAGATTTCGCCAAATACCATGAAGGATTCAAGCATGAAAATCTCGAAGCCAAATGCGAGTGCGGTCAAGAGAGACACCCTTGGGACTTTGCAGAACGTCGACCGGCCCTACAACAGTGGAGAGGCATGAAATGGGAATCTCCCCCGAAGGCAATTGAGATGCTTGGAGGAAAAGGTCGGGAAAAATTTATCGAATTTGCAACTGTAACGAGATGTTACAGGGAGAAGGCCACAGATGGAGAGTCATAAGCTCCCCCAGGGGTATCAGTGGTTATTTTAGTAGTCAATTGCTGGGAAGAATAGGACACGGCGCAGGGCGCTTTTGTTTGGACACACTGTATTGTTTTCTTATGTTTATTTCTCATGGTTTCTTTGGCAAGTAAAGCCATGCACGTAGGTAGTAGTGAGTCTGTATAGATCCCATACCCATATCAAGCCTATTGGGTGTAGGGCACATGCCTGATACGAATAGCAATCAAACTTTTACTGAAACTCACATGGGAGTGCGGAGGGTGCAGCTTGCCTACCGCAATAATAAACAAAACAAAACCAAAACTAACCGGCAAAGACGAATTCTTCACCTTCCAGTGGTGCCGGTGTAATCGCTCAGTATGCTCTGCATATCTAGGATAGCCAAGAATAATTGCATCCGAATCGAAGTTGAAAGCAAACACATGCATATCTCCATTTGACGACTTCTCAACCATGCAGCACTCACCATTATCTTCTGAGTCCTCAACCCCGATCTAACCACATATCATCTCGCCTCGACGACCGATAAAAGCGTCGCCCCAATTGCAAACAGGAGCTTGCCTCATTCATCACCGGCCATCACTCACTACAAATTTACGACGCTACGTATACCCGCAAGGAGGAAATTAAGTCATAATATACAAAGTTGGGGTCTTGGTTTATGGGGGACTGCTGCTCTAATGGGGTTATACAAGTTGATGAAGGACAGGCGGCTGAGATGTGGAGCGAGAGGGGAAAGAGGTCTCTGAAGACCGTGTTGGGACTGACATTTTCGAGGAGTTTTCAACTTTGGATTTTTTGTGGGGGCCGAGACCGAGATTTCGGCTAAGTAGCCAGGAGGACTTCTTGTTTTACTTGGTATATGAAATGGGGAATGTACACTTGCATTTGACGGCTAAGATATGATGTTTTATTGAGAGTGGATTGTAGATGACTCTATGGATGTATATTCTAATTTACAGTAGGAAATACTCCCCTTTTATACCCCATGAACTCGCTTACCAGCGAATCATATGCCCATCATGCTTACTCATGCAGTGTGCCTTCCCTAAACAAATGCGCCAAACATGTCATGTGAGTTGTCCATGCCTGAGGTACCTTGATGACACACTCACCCTCCATGCGCTACCTGCCAGGGCTATCTTAGCTGAGCACAACACTTCTTTTGTTGATGAGTCAACGGCACTCCCCAGCGCCCTGGACGGCACGAAAGAAGTTGGGCTAAGCAAATATACTGCAATCACGCTCTGTCAAGACTTTTCTGACATTTGAGGACGACCTTCGGGAAGGAGTTGGAAGGAGGCTAGAAAGGCAGAGTGTGAATTTCCCGAGGTACCCGCAAGTCTGCAGCGCCCAGCTGGCCGGCCTCTTCGAACGCTTCGGAAGGGGCACTATGTCTTCGGATTTAGTCCTAATGTCGGTATTAGGAGAGCTCTGCACCCAGTAGTTTTTGCGATTTTTCCCGGCTGTCATACACGCGCAAATGGCCATCGTTTCGTTGGCTAGAGAGGGGAGATAATGAAGGGCAAAGGGCTCCTCTAAGTGTATGATCGAATGAGGACTTGTGAGGGGTAGTACTGTTTGAGGGGAGTTGTATGGGAGGCATAGGAGGGGATATACTACTGGTATAGGTATCCTTGGCCTGTAGGCAGAGAGGACCTGCATGTCCTACATAGTCATAGACTCAGACAGGACAATAAAATGAAATAATAATAAAACAAAACTATCCTGTCTAGAAAACTTGGTAATATCGCATTGAATTTCCCATCATTGATATGCACTACTCAAGCCGAGCTAAGCTCTCGGTATTTGTTCCCGACTTTAAGGGCTGCATCGATCCGGGAGGTAGTAAGAGGCATGAAGAGTACGTTGAAAGAATAGCTGGTCCTAGAACAGGAGAATAGAATAGAATAGAATAGAATTCAATTTAAGTCCCTACTGAGTCTATGACTATGGAGGACTGCTAAAGAAAACAAAATAACTTTAAAATTTACTAGTCTTTTTGACAATTGATCTACTTAATATGTACCAATAGATACTGAGGGTCTTGCCCTCTAGAACAGGAGAAAGCAGTATTAGCAGACTGTTTTCTTGTCTGCATTCTGTTGTCAAAGAAGTACTCACGAGGTTCTAGTACCAGCTCTTGCCTTGACACGAACCACTGCGTCAATTTATTGCCTGTTATTCGCGCAGGTAGAACGGACATTGTCGCCAAACTCCCCCGATTTTTTCAAGAACTCGGTTAAAGGGTGATTCATAAGTTGCTTGAATCAAGGTCATAATGGTGCCTGGTCACAGACATGACGCGTTAGTGATGGCTATGTTAGAGGGAGAAAATTGATGCAATAAAAAAGAAGAAAAAAATGTTGGAGGAGGGAAAACTAACTTCCATCATTTCCTATCACTGAATATCGGTATGCCGAGTATCGCCTCCCATCCGGACCCAGAGGATCATCATGTTCCGCATCCAAATAAAATTCAGGATTTTCATAATGATCAATTGCTGATAAAAATATTTTTCGGTCCTCACTGCATAAAAAGTGTGCACCCGGTAAAAAAGCTGACGCTAACAATACAAGACCAGAAAATACCAACGTGGAAGCGGCGCCAAGGAACTTCATTTAGAAAATATCGTCTCGCAGGCCTGGGCTCTGGACTCAAAATAGCTAGCCGCTAGGTGTTATTGGAGAGACTCAATTGATGATTGATGATAAGATATCAAAGTGTACTGATGGAAATGTGTTGATAGTATTCAGTGCCAATGTTTCTGTAAATGCGGTGAAAGGAAGGTTGGTCGACTATCTGGGTGATGCAGACTGTAGACAAAGACTATGTGATTATGTATTGGAGAAAATCTACATTTAGCAAATCAATTTTTACTCTTTGAAATAATTCACGCTGAAATCCGTCTGTCCAATTCCTTGACAAGCTTTGCCAAGTAGGTGAGTAGGCCAAGTCCTGCATAAAAGACATATATTTTAATAATTAATTGACTAATGCAATCAGAACTTCACCATTGAAAGTGAGTAATTTTCCATCAGCTTGGCAATAGATTTGGCCTATCTATCTTCTGGGCCTTCACAAATTCAGCATCTCTCGGCCGTGTCCTCAGCTCCTGCTGCAGAGCTGCGATTAAGCATCACTTTCCTCTACGTTGGGATGAGGAATTCCAAACATCCTTGCTATCGCTTTTGTCTTCAGCTCTCTACAAGCCGGAGAGACGAGTTCTTCACCTTCCAGTGATGTTGATGTAATCACTCAATATGCTCTGCAAATCTGGGTTGGCCAAGAAGAATCGCATCCAAATCGAAGCCGAAACAACCTCAAGCACATCTCCAATTAATGACTTTCCGATAATGCCGCTCTTACTATTTTCATCTAGGTCTTCAACCTCTTGCTTACCACGCATCATCTCGCCTCAACAACCAATAAAGAAGTTGCTCCAATTGCAAATAGAAGCTTTCCCCGATAATTTCCAGCCATCTCTCACTACATAATTACGACGCTATTTATGCCCGCAAGGAGGAAATCAAGTCAAAAAATCCAACGATCAGGACCTGGTTTCTGGGGGACTATTGCTCTAATAGGACAAACAACTTGAGAGATAACAAGTGACTGATACGTGGAGCGAGAGGGAAGAGGCCTCTAACGACCATGCTGAAACTGACGTTTTTATGGGGATTTTTTCCTGGGAACGTTTGTGGGCGCCAAGGCCAACGTTTCGGTAAATTGGCCAGGAGGACTTCCATTGTCAATGAGTCAACGGCACACAAATCTGGGAAACTATTTTTTGGGATTGGCGTGGGAGGATTCAGGACAAGTTCACAAGATGATGCGAAGGATGGATACAGCCTTGATGGGCTTGGAATTTTGAATTTTGGCAAGGAGTTTCACGAGTTGGGCTTTGTGCGAGCCAAGACTTCAGTTGCGAGAGTGCAGGCGACACTATAAATACCACTATGGTTGGATGGTGTGATGGTACATCGTCTTGGCCGGTCCGCCAAGTAAGGTTTGGATAGCTCGGACACATATCCCACTAGAGACAGTAGATTTCCGCTTCAAATCCGGCAAAACACAACCATATTTCTCGCGGCGCTGGTATGCATGGATAACGAAGGCATGCTTGGTTAATCAAAGGTTTTAAAATTTCCTTTGATGGATGCTTAGTGAGGAGGGTCGACTGTTTGTGTAAGCGAACATACCTGATAGTGGTATTTGCGAATGAAACCCAGAGTATGAGTGTCTCAAACGTCAAAAGAGTCATCCCATATGTATACATAGTACCGTTCATATGTCATAGCTCCATAGCTGAATACACTTAAACGATTTAATAAAAAATAAATAATAAGAAAAAAGAGTCAACGGTACTCCATAGCGCCCTGGGTGGCACATAAGCAGTTGGGCCGAGCTGCCATATCGTAGCCACAATCTGTCAAGGCCTTTGTGACATTTCAGCACGAAGTCCAGGAATGAGTTGGAAGGAGGCTAGAAAGACACAGAATTAATTTCCAAAGGTACCACAAGTCTGCAGCGCCCAGCCAGCCGGCCTCTTTGAACGCTTTAGAAGAGACACTGTGTCTTCGAACAAGTCCTGATTGTTGTGCTGGCTCGGTTGAGTTGTCAGGAGATCGGGGAATGGAGGACAGGCTGCTGCATAGACGCTGTTCATGTACTTTATAATCTTTTCACCTGCCGAGTTCAGTGAATAAATCTATCCAGAATAACATCATATTTCACATCATTCATTGGATGATATTTTCAATCTTCCGGATACACATCCAGCATCCCCTTCATTGATCACCATTGTCGGTAAGAGTTCACATCAGATAGCTACTGACACCTTTTTGCCACAGTAATATGCACTCAGTATCCATCGTGCCGTCTCCACATCTCACTATTGTGTTGTGCTCAGCTATGTAGTATGGTAGATCTAGTAGCTGGAACATATGTAATCATAATGGCAGTATGGCATCATGACGCATGAAGGAGATCCAGCCTCTACACAACGGCATTATATGTAGTACTTTGTGCAGTTTGAGAGAAGGGTTATAGATATGGAACAAACGACATAGCTGCTAAGTTGGGAGCACACTTTGGTGCGCCACATACTGGTTACGTGATCGGTCTGTGACAAATTTGGATGGACGTTTCGGATATCTCTGAGCGCAGCCGTAGTCAACAGAAGACGGATAGAGTAAACTCAGTCATACTCGTAAACAAAGGTCACATCATAATAATGATGGGCTCTCGAATTAGATTGCAACACTTCGATGCCCAACCCTCCATCTACAACATCTCATCTATATACTACATGTTCTTTGTACATGCCTGAGGCAAAGTGGACATTTAACGGAATATACTACAAGTCTGATCTGGGTCATTATAGTTTATCGTAGCGCCACGTATCGCCCTCTTTCACCATAACCACCTCACCGCTCATAATCACAACACTAGTGTCTGTATTTGAAGAGCTCTGCACCCAGTAGTTTTTGCGATTTTTCCCGGCAACCACACATCCGCAATCGGCCATCGATTCGTTGGCTGGAGAGGGGCCATAACGAAGGGCAAAGAGCTCCTATACGTGTAAGATCATATGAGGACTTGTGCAGGGAGGTATTATTTTTGGGAAGCTTGTTTGATTTGTATTCATTATCTTGATTTGGCGCCCTATGGGCCCATGCGGGTGGCTATAAATCTATCTACTTACATAGGAGGAAAGCTCTTGGTGAAAAGGCCCCAAGCTTTCTGATTTAATTCTTATAGTTTGCAATTTATCTTTCAGGAAGTACAGTTACACTGTAACGCCGTCGATGTGTACCAATCACGTCCCCTGTAATGGCCCCAACATTGTGCCAGTCCTGCCTCGTTCCTTAATCAGCATTTCGACTGCATTTGTCATTCGGAATTGATCAATCCAACCATGACTAAGAATCCATTGCGTGATTCTTTTCATATCGCTAGGATTGTTGATCAATGCTACAAAGGAGCGATTTCGGGCTTGTCTCAAGATTTGCCCTCTACCAATAGACCACTTAGGGCAGGACATGATCATGTGCTTGGGATTTTGTGATTGGTAGCCACACGTGTAGCTTGGGTGATAAACTCCTCGTACTTTTCTTCTATGCAAATAAGAATTGAGTCCGATATCCTCGCTTCGAATTTAGATCGCTAAGCTACTTTGGGTCCTCGTCAGGTTTTTGTGGGGAGAATATGGTGACTCCCGGAAGCTCATTTTAGTACGTCCGGAATGGTGGCATTGGTAGAACTTTGCTGCTGCCCAAGTTTTAGGATCTGCTGAAGCAAATCTTTTAGGCTGTCGAGTTTGCTTTGTGGCATACCAAGATTTCGCCCATTCCAGGTACGCTGCAACCCTTACCGCTTCTTTTTGTAAGTCCTTGCATTTCTCCTCTCTGCAAATATCTTTCCAGCTTGCAAGGTCTGCCCTTCTATTATGTGCTCTATTAGGTGCTCTAATATCTTCTCTTCCCCTTCTGGAAAGACTTATTTTAGTACATACTGATTGGATAGTCTTTTGAACTGGTAGAGAATTTGAGCGGCCTACATTCTGAGCCCTTTGTTGCTTCGAGTAGATTTCTATCGGAAAAGTAGCAGTTTCATTTTCTAGCACCCTGGTACTTGTCGATTTGTATGCCCCAGTTACTACTTTCAGAAAATTTCTTTGGGAGCTTCTTGGAAAGCTAGTTGTGACATGATTATTGCATTCACCATAAATATATCTCTACCATGGATCAGGGATACAACATATCCATGCGAGTACTGCACAGTCCTATATGGCCATCAATACAATCAATTATTGGGGCGTAGCTCTACATAATGGCATAGAGTAATGTGAGATAGTATGGCATGGAAGTAAGATTGAAGTGCTTCCTGCATAGACGGTGATGCACTGTATAGTAGGTGCCTGATATATGTATACAAGTCTCATCTGCTACCATGATATGTAGGGAGATCACTACTAAGCTATTCGTCATATCATTAAGCTCCGATAATTTTTATACACTCTTCTCTGCTATCCCTAGCATATTTAACATACAATACCTACTCATACCTCAATTATAACAGAGCTGTATGGGAGGCATAGGAAGTAATTTACTACGAGACAGGTATCATTGGCCTGTATGTTGTGAATATCATTTAGGTGATCCAGAAGAGTCAACTCACGGTAGATGCCCTGCCACTCCGCAATGGAGTTAAGGAGTCACCGCCAAGGAGTGACTCGTGTCATAAGTTGTTTGTTTGTTTATTATTGACTCGTATCAAAAGTATCATGTCATGAGTATTTATCTCTACTCGACTGACATTTGGCTAGTGGGTGACACAGCTGAGTCACGGTGCCACCACTAGGGAACATACTTAATCCGGATTCTGTGTCATGAATATACGTCTAGAATTTAGTGCCACACAATTGGTGATGAACGCGGATGAGTCAAGGAATTTCCCGTCGGAGTTCGAGAAGGACCGGTGTAGTCATGTAGCGTGAAAACAAGCGAGGGATATATGTACATGACAGACTGATAACTCTGCAAGTAGGCATCAACCATTCTTATCTCTCATCCGGAGGGCAAGACTGAACACCTGTACGCGGTGACCTCTACAAACCTGGGAGTGAAATTTTCTCCCAGAGCCAAGATCAGTCAAATTTCGCAATATCAAAGAAGTTGGCCCACGAGGCGATGATTCAAAATACTCCGCCATGTCATTTTTTCGCTCCCAACGAGTTCGACTCCTACCCAAGTCTCATCAAGTCTACAAGTACGACCAAGTACATCCTCACCTCAATGACTACACCACTCCTCGACCTTCTCTGGCCTCAGTTGACCGGCAAATACACGCCCACGCCGATATTCATACCCGACGGAGAAAGTAAAGCGTGGCGCACAAATCTGGAAGACAGTTCTTTGGGATGGACGTAAGAGGGATCAGGACAAGCTGAAAAGATGACAAGATGATGCGAAGGAAGGATATAACCTCGAAGGGCGTGAGATTCCGAACTTTGGCAAGGAGTTTTACGAATTGCGCTTTGTGTGCGCCAAGACTTCGCTTACGAGAGTGTAGCTGACACTATAAACTCAAGCAAATGATGGAAGGTGTTATGGTCCACCTCCTGGTGGTGTTCTCTGGTATGGTTTGAGTAGCCTGGGCACCTTCTCCAGCTGGGAAGGGGACGCCTCAGACCATATTTCGCGCGGAGAAATGTGAAAGGATGATGGAGGCATGTCTGGATAACTCAGGGTTTTTGAGACGTTTTCCTGGGTGGGTATTCACGGATGAGGGCTGACGTGGGGTGAAGAAAAAGCCGCCATAACTTTGTAGTGTGTGACAAAACCAAGCTGGTTGTAGTGTACTTTTAGAAAGATTAAACTATATGAAGAGAGAAGTACCTTAACTACAGGCAATGACTATTTGTACATCCTTCTAGCTCATCCAGTACGTACTATGTCGGTGAGAATAACATATTGCTCCGCCACTGCCCGTCGTCATCTTTGCCATCTAGCTGACTCTCTCACTTGGCAATTCTACTTCGCCGTCTCACATTCCTTCCTGGCTCCAATGTAATGTGGCCAAGTGAAACTTAGTCGCTTGATACAAGATAATTTGTAACACTCTCCCTAATACGCCCCCAAACTCTGTTTAGGTCTCCACCTAAGATAAACCACGGTCAAACAGTAACATAGTGGTACTTGCAAATGAAATCCGAGGCAAGAGTGCACCTCTTGTAAATTGAGTCATGTCTTCTGTACTTTTCTTTGATATTGTGTCATAGCTAGATAGCTGCATACGCAATTAAAATCTAATGCAAAAAAAAGAGATTGGAATCAAGCGAGTACTAAAAAAAGATGTCATCAGTGCTTCCATAACGCCAGAGTGCTATAGGAATCATAACCCAGCTCAATACCTGTTTAGCACAACTCGTGCCACTTAACATAGAGATACCTATACCATTTGTTGATCAAGCTGTTGGGGTCTATTTTCGCCGGATCGATTGGTGTTGGTATACAGCAGAGCAAGTCCAGAATAAATCAGTTAAGTAATATATAATCTAGAGAAAGATGATCTCTTACTTCTCGCTGTATACATAGGGAATTGTAATTGTCAGCGCCGATCATAACAATCTATGTTGCTAAGCAACCACACCCAGACCGCAACATTGGTAGCCCCCGTAGCTGGCTAGGCCTTATACTCCATCCCTACCGTACTGGCGCAGATAGTACAAACACAAGGGATTAATCCCGTAACAACTATCTGTAGAAGATGAGAGATTTTTTTTTGCATCAGATTTTAATTACGTATGCAGCTATCTAGCTATGACACAATATCAAAGAAAGTACAGAATAGATGATTCAACGTAAAGGAAGAGCACTCATGCCCCAGATTTCATTTGCAAGGACCACTGCGAAGCTACGGTGGCTTTTATTCGACTTTAGTTATCTAAATATTCAGACATATAATGAATATGGTCTGTTTATCGATTATGATGTGGCTGCAATTGCAGTTGGATGTAAATAATGTAAAGGTCTTTATCAAGTATCTTTAATATATATATTTATTATGGAAATACCCTCCCGTGAAGTCTACTCTAATATATACATGTAAATGCCTTCTTTTATAGATATTCCCAAAGTCTAAGATAGAGCACCTATATCCCCTGAGATATATGTTCGATACAGAGTTGTGACCTGCCTCCCATATTATGCGCAAGTCCGAAACTACGTTCTGCCATGTCCGTCAGTTCTGTATTAAGTTTTCCAGCCTTCATTTCCGTGCACATATTGTTGGAAATACAGTTTCCTGCTTTTCTTTCTATCGACCAATGTGGTTGCATGCATCTTGCCTGAACTATATTTCTGAGTTCGGGCAGGATCCCACACTTCTGATCCAATCGGACTCAACGTTAGAGTCTGCTTGAATCCCATTCTTCCCCAACAAATCCAGTCATTGGTTTGTTCGTACTTCTATTGCGTGACCCAGTATTCTCAGTCAGTGGATAATTCTTTTCTGGTACGGGGTCCCACTTATTTCTGCAGTCGAGTCGGTTCCGGGTAACCTCTATTTCTTATAATTCCACTGTATATATCATAATACCTGTAGTCTATTAGTAAATTAAGCAAACTGAACTTCTTCTCCGTTCTCAGGCAATTCTTACTCCGAAGTCTTCTCTATACTCTAACACATATCCTAAAGTGTAATTTGCCAGTAGATGTATGATCAGCGGCGGAAACCTGCAGTCTAATAAACACAATTTAGACACCATGGGTGTTACGGCGTGCCGTGGGATAGATCGAGATCGCCGTTCGCTGAGGGTATGGAAAGGTCAAGAGTTGAATACTATAGAGATGGAAAGTCGACGAAGTACTATGGCTAGAAGGAAGCGGGTTTGCGAGAGGAATACTGTAATAATATTATAAGATTGTGAAGCTGGAGAACTACTTTGTTGTAGCTCCAGCTTCCTTAAGTACAAATAACTATCTAACATAATTCAACTAAGACAGTTGTAATTTCCCATCATGACTCAAACTGTGACTTCAACCATATCAATTCCAGTTGGCGCATTATCTAGTCTCACCATTTAAGTACAAGTGTTGAGGGTGAGCCGAAAAACCTGTTTCGTGAACTTTATCCTCAGGCATTCTGCTTAGACTCTGGTTCAAGAATGTCTCGCCATGATAATGGGAATAGAGTCTAACTCTAACACTTTTTCTTCACGCCAAGTCAACCCTCATCCGTGAATACCCACCCAGGAAAACGTCTCAAAAACCCTGAGTTATCCAGACATACCTCCATCATCCTTTCACATTTCTCCGCGCGAAATATGGTCTGAGGCGTCCCCTTCCCAGCTGGAGAAGGTGCCCAGGCTACTCAAACCATACCAGAGAACACCACCAGGAGGTGGACCATAACACCTTCCATCATTTGCTTGAGTTTATAGTGTCAGCTACACTCTCGTAAGCGAAGTCTTGGCGCACACAAAGCGCAATTCGTAAAACTCCTTGCCAAAATTCGGAATCTCACGCCCTTCGAGGTTATATCCTTCCTTCGCATCATCTTGTCATCTTTTCAGCTTGTCCTGATCCCTCTTACGTCCATCCCAAAGAACTGTCTTCCAGATTTGTGCGCCACGCTTTACTTTCTCCGTCGGGTATGAATATCGGCGTGGGCGTGTATTTGCCGGTCAACTGAGGCCAGAGAAGGTCGAGGAGTGGTGTGGTCATTGAGGTGAGGATGTACTTGGTCGTACTTGTAGACTTGATGAGACTTGGGTAGGAGTCGAACTCGTTGGGAGCGAAAAAATGACATGGCGGAGTATTTTGAATCATCGCCTCGTGGGCCAACTTCTTTGATATTGCGAAATTTGACTGATCTTGGCTCTGGGAGAAAATTTCACTCCCAGGTTTGTAGAGGTCACCGCGTACAGCTGATCAGCTTTTACTCTTCTAGACCGGGAGTATTTATGTCTCGGGTAGTGTACTACCCTCTGTCCCTAATCCAAGACTTCTTTCCAGCATCACTGCTCCCACAATTGGCTAGGTGGCGCAGTGGTACACCATTCGGGTTGCTTTCCCAGTGAGATTTACGGAAGCTTGAGCACCTACCCAATTTGATACAGGATAGAAATGATGGACTAATTTCAATGTAGAAAGCTTGGGCATTTCTATGTCATAAATTTTTTTTTTCACCAGAGATCAAATTACTCCTGCATACTGTACATAACTTAAATTCACGACCATCCTATTTTCGAGACGACTATGGTGCCATGATTTCAAGTTTTCAGTGGATTTAAATGGGGCGCATATTCGCTTCAGGGGTTGTACCCCTGTCAGCGCCGTTTTCAACAGGGTATACAATTTATGTCCTGGATTTACAGGCCTAAACCAAGGGCACAATTTGATTTCATGTCACCCTCAGTTTTATGCAAATCCAACCTGCTCTCTAGTTCTTTCCCATTGCTTTGATGAGCGCCGACCGCTAAAAAGTTATACAGCTCTCCTCATCTTGTGCTTGAGTGACAATAAGAATTAGATTTCTCAAATACAAATTATTTATTCAGAAGACACATGGCTTTACTCAATACCAACCTTATTTTGCAGATAAATCCACCTCAAACCCACCTTCAACATCTCGAATCAAACAATTATCCAGAGATCAAAACATTTTAGCAAGTAGAAAAATTAAATGAACGAATTGAATTTAAAAGAAATTTTAAGATTTATGGGCTCCATGAATCTGGCAAAAATTAGACGCAGATTGCCACGCAACTAGGCATGTCTCGGGGACAAGTTAGCTATTCACTGCGCCGCGGAACTGTATCCCCTCAAAAAGGAAAAATACACCTCAAGACTGAAAGCAGATGATGTTGATCAGATTATGTCTTATAATAAATCTTCACCTAAAAACTGCTGCAATACATTTCTGGAACTCGCCTCTGGCCCTTTAAGATAACTTGGTGTTAGCGAGCGGGTAATACAAAGAAAACTTAAAAAAAAAGGATATCCGCGATATGTGGCTTGTCTAAAGCCTCCAGTATCTCACAAAACTATGAAGACTTGCAGAGAATGGGCCGAAGCTCATCCCAATTGGATATATGAAGACTGGACGTCAGTTTTATGGACAGACAAAACTTGGGTAGAGGATGGATGATATTCTAGAGTATTGGTTACAAGAGAAATGTTCGTATATTCCACTTTAAGAAGATAGTAATTTGATGCTCTAAAATTATGAGCTAGACTTCCCAAGAATACAATACTGATTGTGTTGGAGAAAAATCGAAGAATAGGGTCGGATGGATGTTCTGGGGATGCTTCGCAGGGCCAGAAAAAGGCTCTTGTTTGTTTTGGGAGAAAGAATGGGGTTCCATTAACTCCCAAAAATATTGCGAGAAAATAGTTCCTCTTATCAATGGCATGGTCTCGATGAGACCTTGGCTTTCCGTAATGCAGGATAATTCTCCTGCTCACGTAGCAGCAAGTACAATGGAGGATACCAATCAGAGGCTCATTCAACCGGTTTTTTGGCAGGCCAACTCGCCTGATCTTAACCCGATTGAAGCTGTTTGGAATAGGATGAAGGATTATATCTAGCGTCATCATCTGAATCTGGGTTGCGGAAAGCAGCAAACTCAAGTTAGTCTTCACAGCATTTTAAAGGAGGCATGGGATTCCGTGTCTTCTGAAGATCTTGTGAGACTCATTCAGAGTATGCCAGCAAGATATCAGGCTGTGGTAGATGCGGATGGGGGACCGACCAGATATCAAGGCCTGAAAATATTCCAGACTGTCAGGATTGCCTTCTGTATAATCTATATATGTTGTCAGATTGGAGTCTAGACGTTTGAGCTGGAGCGAATTCGAAGGGCTAGAAGATGTTAAATGGACGGCGAAAGATGACTGAAGGTATACTAGAGATAATATGGAGGAAATTGAGGGTTGAAAGATGGTTAATCTAAGTATTTAAAAGGTCTAAAGGTTCGAGAGGGTACTAATGATAACTAAAGGTACTAGAGGTAACTAGAGGTGACTAAAGGTGCTAAAGGTAACTAGAGGCGACAATAGGTGACCAGAGGTGATCCGAAGGTGGTGGTTATGACAGAAGACTAAGCGTAAAGAACTCTATGCCTACAGACCAAACCATTGTATATATACCTGCCCTCCTTTCACTAGCTCATCCTAACATAGACCTTAACATAATATCAACATGATACCATGTGCCAAGAACTGTCCTGTTGTCATAGCAACATATGAAGAAAGGTAAAATTATATCCTAAAGAAAGGATCGGAAGAGGAATCCTTACATATGTGGAGATAACCAGATTCTACTGTTCTATGATTCTGGTCTGGCCTTTTGGCCGAGTGTTTAAGCACCTATCTCATGCATAATGTTAGATGGCACCCTTTAGCATGAACAGCGCCTCTTTGACCCATGTCTCCGCCCTGCTGTCTAAATGCTGCTCTGTGTAACGGCTGGTAAGCCGATTGGTCCCTGTAGCCTATGTTGGTTAACTTAGGCCTGATTCGAGTGGCGTTATTGATGGCTACCAATGCGCTAATATGCGACGCCACCCAATACAATACTTTTGCGTCGGCATTTGCATGGTATTCACATGGCATCGGACTCGGCAGTGCGGCACGGCAGTACGGCACGGCAGTACGGCACTGCACCACATGTTGATAGGCTTACACTGACTGGGAATATACGAGACCGAGTACAATCCTTCCGGACCATAACGCAATAGTGCTGTATTACAGGCATAGTCAGAACACTAGGGGAGTCCCATAGCATAGGAACAGGAGAGGGATTAGCCTTGGTGGCGAGGAGGCTTTCACGTATATAAATGAATAGATAGATGTAGTGGAAGTTCTCTCCTTAGAATTATTATTTACTACCATCGACCACATAGTTGCCCCAGCACTTGTCCCTCGAAACCGTGACACTCTGGCACAGCCACATGTTCAGATCTGTTACGGCTTGAGTTTACAGATGATAGGTTTATGATATCACGTGATGTGGAGTCTGGTTGAGTAAGTGTCAGGAAATGCTGCTTAGTCAGCTAGTTGGTCAAGTGAAAGGTGTCCACATTATTAGTACATAACACCTTTATTACTACACACCCTTAGTCCTACATCCATACAATTCCTCACATATTGTATATTACTATCTGCATTATCTTACTCCCGTGACTATACTTTCTCAATATCCCAACAGGTTATGAGACCGGTGTCTAATTATTCATCGGCTTCCTTTTTCGAACAATCTGCAGCAATGTCTTCATTTACTACAGAAATAAAAGACACCCGCAATCACGACAGTCTTCCACAGTACAAATCTAATTGGGGGAACATTGTGATTCTGAGCCTCGGAACATTCACAGAGTGGTGGATTACTTGCGAGATTGCTTTAATAAACGCTGGCGTTTTAAGTATTGCTGATGGCACTTGGAAGAAACTTATTGCTAATTATTACACGCATGCTTCCCGTCCGAATACACGATCAGCCTCTTCCGGTGCAGCACACAATGAAATTGATGTCGATGACAATGAATTTCGAATACAGGAACAGAAATGGTTATCCAAAGCCCGCGACACGCAGATAATCATATCCAACTCCATCGAAACCCAACTGATGGAGCAGTCGCTCGGATTTCTGAGGAACATTGATCCCGCTGGGCTATGGAACTTCCTCCTCCAAATGGACCCAAACAGAGATCCTACAACCATTGCAGAATTGAGATCCAAGTTCGCCTCCATGAAGCTTGATCCGAGAACAGACACAATCCAATCTCTTGTTCTACGCCTCAATAATCTCAGAGTCAATGTGACGGAAACCGAGTTGGTAATGAATAAATCGATTTATTAAACTATATGAAGAGGAAAGAAATCTCTAGCTACTACTAACAGGTACTTATAACGTTTCGTCCGCTTCGTGAATCTGCTGACTGATAACTTCCCCCTAGGCCTAATACTTGCTACTGAGCCAAGTATTATCAGGAGCCATTACGCTATGATGTTGCTTCGACCTCCTGGCTAGTAGTGCTATTTCATCTCTATTTGCCCATCCTTCCTCTTTCAGTCTTATCGTAATTATTCCTAATTAAACGCTTAGGTTTCCTCCTAAGCTAAAACAACGGTCAAACCGTAATAGTCAAGCTATCAATGACCTCTAGACCGATCACCGAGGAAGATGTCAAGGAGCAGCTAATTGCATCTCTTCCTAAGGATAACTCGATTTGGTCTACGGCTCGATCACACGCTCTAAACATGGGTAGAAGTCTAGCAGAAACAATTATATATCTTCAATCTTGCGAGTCTAACATTTGTTATACACAGTCCCATCAACCACAATCTGCAAATGTAGCACGCAGCAATTATAGAAAAAGAGGACGTGGTACATATCGAAGGGGACGCAATACAGCGCACTTTGATCGTCGTGATCAAGCTCGCGGAGAGCTTAACCGAAAAGGAAAGCAAAGAGGAATGGCAACGGACGAAAAGGAGTGTTTCTTTTGTGGTAGAAAAGGTCATGTAGAACGCGATTGTCGCCTTAAGCAGTCCCAAAGTAGAGCAGCCAAGGAAAAGAATAAAGCTAGGGGAGATGCCGACGCTCGTTATGTTCAAGTTAGAAATATTAATGCAAATGATTCACCCTACCTGCCTTATTATCTTGAACTCAGTCACACAGCTTGCTCAGAGCTAAATATGGATAAAAGCCTGGCCCTACTCAAAATAAAATCAAGTAAAAGTAAAATCCGAAAATATAAAACAAATTCCAAAAATATACAGAGCTTGATCACCAGCGGAATTCATAATCTCCTTAAATTTATACGGCTTCTGGATTCTAATGCAACAGCTCTCCCAACTGTCACAAAACATGCATTACTCACCAAGCCCAGAGAAATTCTCACAATAATTGACTCCGGAGTGTCAGAACATTTCAGTGGTATGAGAGATGATTTCTCTACGCTCAAAAGATGGAGCAGTCCAAAGTCTGTCCAAATTGAAGATGGAAAAGTTATTCAATGCGAAGGCTATGGCAATATATCTTTTAGGACTAGTGATAAAATAATTGAATTAAGAGAAGTCTGGTTTATTCCTGAGTTTGGTCAAATGCGGCTTCTGTCCGTCTGGGCCTTCAATAAGAGGGGCATTAATGTAAAGTTTGCTGATGGCCATTGTCAAATAACACGAAACGGCTCAATCTTGTTTGAAGCAGAAGGAGAGGATGGCGTCTTCAAAGTTAAAACAAAATCAATACCTCAAGCAACATCAGCCACAGAAGTTCAGCAACAAATGCCACACCAAACAGAGACTGAATGGGACATTTTGCATAGAAGAATGGGCCATATTAACATCAAAGATATTGACAAGGTTCTGAAAACAGGACACACTGGACTAAAAGTTCCTAACAAGAAAAGATCAATTCCGATTGGATCAAAACCTCGGAAGCATGTTTAGCAGGAAAGATGAAGGAAAATTTTAATAAGAAATCTGACAATTGTTCAAGCACCATCCTTCGTCGAGTTCACTGTGATATCTCAGGAATCCAGTCCATCTCAGTTAGAGGATATCGGCTCTACTTCCTCATGGTAGATGATGCAACAAGGATGTGCTGGGTCAGGTTACTAAGAACGGAAGAAATGAATGAGGTTCTAGTCACATTCAAGCAAATAAAGGCCGAAGCTAAATTGCAATCTGGCATTAAAATTGTCTACATGAGGGCTGACAACAGCAGGAGTGAATTTGGTACTACCCTTCAACACTACTTGAAAGAAGTAGGTATAAAATTTGAACCAAGCCCACCGTACAAACACTCGATGAACGGAGTTGTTGAAAGATGGATGGGTATTATAGCAGTTATAGCAAGGTCTATGTTATATGAGGCACAGCTACCTCACCAGCTCTGGGATTACGCTGTCGAGCATGCGGCTTGGATCAAGAACAGGGCTCCCACATCCGCGCTACCTTTTGCTGATAGTGACGCCCCAGAAAAATTCACACCCTACAGCGCATACCATGGAAAGCCTGCAGATCTAACCAACATCAGAGTTTTCGGGTGCAAAGCTGATGTGCTTTACCCTTCCGAGTTAATTCCTCAGAAATGGCAACCTCACATTAGAGAAGGAAAATTCATCATGATAGGAATGACTTCGACGAAAATTTGGAAGCTACTTGATATGCTTACCTTAGGAGACACAATCTCTACAGATGTTGAGTTCAATGAATATGAATTCCCTAAAATTGACATCTCACTCTTTACTCTACCTGATTGACCAGATGTGCTAACACCTAGACAAGTACCTTTAGAGCGAACAAAGATGTACCAGCCGCAGCTGATAGAAGCTAGGCAGAAAGGTTTTAAGCAAGCGCGTAAGAAGTACGCTGCAATTCGCTCAATTGAGGCAATGAGCTCGGGCGAAAATGACTCTGAATTGCAAAATCCTGTAACTTGCCCGCGAGAGGCTGGAGATGCGTCTGATCAACGCTATATACAGAAGGCTCCCATTAGAATGGACGAGCAAGAGACCTACATAGATTTGGTAGAGCTACAGACTCCCGTAATAAGACGTGAAGGAAGCTGCCACGAGAACGCGTGG